CATGGAAATGAAATACTAATTCAGTATCTACATAAAACCATAGGTTCCATTGAATTGCTTCATTTTATAGTTAGATGGATGCTCCATAGGAAGAGTATTTTGTTTGCCTGTATTTAGGTTATTAAACTTGAGTTATGTCTATTCATAAACCTGAGCAAACCTCTCTGAAAACACAAAACTCAGAAGAGAAAGTAGTAAGGTACCTAAAAACATGTTTAAGTGTTACTATCTGGGACACATATTGGGACATATAGCTCAAAATAATATAGGTCATTGTTTTGATCAGGTATGAGATTTGTTCGTGTTACAACAAAGCTTCAATGAGTGGCAGAGTTGCAAGAGTAGAGAAGTTAAGAAAGGACTCAGAGGGATGTGGAATCCATGTCCTGGCACACTCTGGCTTTGATAAATATTACATGATTGCAGTGATACCTTTTTGTGAGATATAAGTCATTGTTTCAATAATTAATGGCACCAGTACATGTTTCTAAGAGTACCAAAGGTAAATAATTTACTGTAATTACTAAAGAGGAATGATATTATTTATTTATGAGAAATTTTTTTAAAAAAATAAACCTTTGTGAAAACTAACCTTAGGCTCCCCAATATAGGAACTGTAGCTTCCCCTCCACTCCACTCATGCCAAAAAAATTAAAGGATACTTTGTATTAAGTATTTTGCCCTACTCTGAAGGTTTGTTGGTTTGGTTCTCCAAAAGTCAGTAGAAGTTGTTATTAACTAAGGCCAGACTGAAACCAACACCTCATCTTTGGTTAACCCACATAGAATTTGAGAACTTTCCTAAATGGTTTATTGCCTTTGGCAGGTTAGAACCTTGGTTTCTTGGATTCTTATTAGAAGCTTAATTGCACACCCATTCACTAGATGTGTCCTTGCTCATTAAATGCAGATAAAGCTGTTCCTCATTCATTTTTGCATTTTCCTAGGACGTGGGTGAGATAGTGACTTGCATATAATTGTTCTACAAATTTATGTTTCAATTTGACTTCAGGGCTATTTTTTTTTTTAAATCTGTGTAATTCAGAGTAAGTTTTTAAATTCAGATTTTATTATTACCAAAGTTATGCAATTAAATAAAAAGCCATATCATTCTACAAGACACACTTGTTAGGAAGAAACATAATCCCCATATACACCTTCAGTCCCCAATTTCTCCTTTCCAGAGACAAGTGCTTGGAATAATTTTTGATGACTCTTATGATGTGCTTGCATATCTCTAAATACTACATGTATACTGTTCTTGTTGATTTTTCTCCATTTCAAGAATGATTTATTGACTTCCCCAAATGAAAGCTGAAGCTTTAATTTTTTCCCACACTTTTCCTCCCCAACCATACACACTTTGTATCCTCTCATTTCCCCAAACAGTTGTAATTTATTTTGCTTATAGCTCTATTTGATGCTTATCTTGTTACACCTATGTAAATGTTACATATGTGGCTTATATTGTGATTGCTTTTTCTTTCTTTCTTTCTTTCTTTTTTTTTTTCTTTGAGATGGAGTCTTGCTTTGTCACCCAGGCTGGAGTGCAGTGGCTCAATCTCGGCTCACTGCAACCTCCACCTCCCAGGTTCAGGCGATTCTCCTGCCTCAGCTTCCCGAGTAACTGGGATTACAGGTGCATGCCACCACTCCCAGCTAATTTTTTGTATTTTTAGTAGAGAAGGGGTTTCACCATGTTGGCCAGACTGGTCTCAAACTCCTGACCTCAAGTGATCTACCCACCTCAGCCTCCCAAAGTGCTGGGATTACAGTCATGAGCCACCGCGCCCAACCTGATTGCTTTTTCTTTCCAGCACAGTATTTTATTTTCTCTGGGGTTTTTTCACTTGCTTGATGTCCTCTGTGCATATCAATAGTCCAACCCCAAAACTCTCCCCGAGGTGTACATATCTCTCAATATGTTCACATTCATTAGGTGTTCTATCTGTCTTGTCTACTTACCTCATCTTGCTTAGAGCTTTCTTACTTGTCATATTCCTTGTAGGTCCACTACACACAGATGTGCTCTTGGGGTCTTCCTTCATCATAACCATGAAAATTCCCTTTGATTTATCTTGTGTTAGAGTCCATGACCTCCTTTTTCTTGGGTTAGTCCTTCATTTTCATGGAGTACATCTTCCGGTAGTTTCCTCAGAGAGTGCATGAGAAAAACGTTTTTTAAGGTTTTATATATCTGAAAATATCTGTCTGGTTCATACTTGTTTTTAGTTTAGCTGGTTATAGAATTCTGACTTGAAGTCATTTCCTGTCAGAATGTTGAAGGAATTGCTCCATTGCCTTTTACCTTCACGTTTTGCTGTTAAAAGTCTGATACAGGCCCTCCATCTGTGACCATTTTTTCTCTCCGTGTTTATAGACTCTGTCTTTGTCTCTACATTCGGAAATGTTACAATGATGTACCATAATGGGTTCTGTATTCACAGTACTGGTCACTCACTGGGTTATTTGACTCTGGCAAACTCTGTCTTCAGCTCTGGAAAATGTCTTAAATTGTTTCCTTAATTTATTTTCCTTTGTTCACATTTTTTTTTTCTTTCTAGAACTTCTTTTTTTTAGACTGAGGAGAAGGATTTGAACCTCCTGAACTTATCTTTTGCTTTCTTGTATTTTCTCTCCTGTTTTCTAGAGTTAAAAATTTCTCTATACTTCCTAGGGTTTTTTCAATATATTTGTTACTTTCTGAGAGTTATTTTTCCCTGAATGTTTCTTTTTTTTTTTTTTTAATAAGTAGTCTATTGTTTCATAGGTGTAAAAATATCTCATCCCTCTCTAGATATTAATGAATAATTTTAAGTTTTCTTCTCCCTGAAAAGCCTGTTTCCTCCAATTTGCTTTCCTTCTGTTTGCTTGTTTGTTTTGTTTTTATACTAGATGCTTTTCTCAACTCTCTAGTGACTGACAACTGTCTACTCATTAATAAGCTCATTGAAAGCTCTCTATATCTTGTAGAGGTTGTCATCCGTGATTTCCACTGAAGTAATAAGCCAGAACATTTCACTGGGAAATTCCAGTGGGCAGGTCAGAATCCTCAGAGACTTCCCATTTTTCTGCCTAGAACTCTGTCCCTAACTGTGTCTGGGAGACCAGTAAAGGAAGGCTGGGAGTCTGAATATTCAGTATACAATCCCCATTTTCAGTATGGTGCCTCTAGCCTTCTAGTCTCCTGCCTTTAGTCTTCTGCTAGGGTTGGTGGTAGTGATGGCAGGGGATCATTATTTGACAACTGAGGGGATTATGAAAGTCAAATCACCTTTTAAAGATAATTCTTGCCAATCCTGTTTCTCTGCTGATGTATTTTCTCTTATTCTCTCTGTCCTTTCTGTGTGCGTATTTTTAAATATGTGACTGTCATTTTACTGAGGTTTCAGTAGGAAGCAGATTCGGGGGGAACTGTGGGCTAAAACCTTTTATCAGATTTGGTACATTCTTAGCCATTATCTTTTCAAATACAGCTTCTACTTTATTCTCTTCTTCTCTTCTATTTCTAAGGGTCCAATTTACACTTATGTTAAAATCTCTCAGTGTTCCACGTCTTGTACTGTTTTCTATTTTTTTAACCTATCCTTCATTTTGTATATTTTTCCATTTAGGGCTCTAACTTAACCCTCTTTTATATTGTGTCTAAGTCAAGAACCGACATTGTATTTAGCACTGAACCAATGCCCATTTGATTCCTTCTTATGTATATTCTAGTGTTCTATCCTTTTTAATTTATTTTCTCTATCTTTCCCTGTGTTTTTGTAAACATACTAATCATAGTTATTATAAAGCACTTATTAGCTTACCTCAGAATCTGGATGGCCTAGGAGTCTGTTTATAGTGTTTATCTAGCTTGGTTTGGTTTTATTTCATTTTTGTGTTTTTATCCATCCACTCTGACCATGCTTGGCAATTTTTCACTTTATGCTAGACATGGTGTATAAAAAATTGTGGACACACCCAAAGGTGATATATTCCTCCACAGAATGTTTGCCCTCCCTCTGCTAGGCAAATAGAATAGTAAATTTTAATTCATTAAAGATTTTGCTGAAATGAGGCTGGTCTGCAGCCCTGGTGAAAGCTCATACTACATCTGTTTTCCCCCCAGCTCACCAGCCTCCTTATTTAAAATTGTGGTATGATCTTCAAATCTCTTCCCATTATAAGTTCTAAACGTTTAGGTCATTTTCTTATTAACTGCCAAAAATCTCCATTATGCTCTTCAGAGATATTTCTGATTAGGTTTTGAGCTTCCTGTTCTGCACAGCTTCAGAATTCAGCACATGTTCTTAGCAGGAAACTGTAGCATGCTTGAGGCCACCCAAATCTCCACCAAAACTCTCCTGGGTTTTCTATTCAACGACAGTGATCCCTGTAGGTTAAAAGTACAAATCTGTTTGCAGTGGTAACTGACAAAAGCCTGTAAGTTAAAAATGGGCAACAGAAAGTCAACTCAACTCCTGAAGATGTTCCCCCTCCCAGAGTTTGGTAGTTCTTTTAGTTCTTGATGCTTCAGCCGTGCTCTCTGCTGCATTCCGATACAATTTCTGTATTTTATCTGGCTTACTTGGCAGAAGCACTAGGTTGCTACTAGCTACTCTGCCCCACTTGGAACCAGAAGTCATCAAGATTGCATTTTTTGTTTTTTATTTTGAGAATTGAGAAAAAAAATTACAGTTGTTATAGGATTAATTTGGAGACATGTTGAAGTGCTTAAAATCATAGTTGGAGTTAGTTCTATGATATTTCTTTGCCATGTCAGTTACCCAGGGAGCTTTCTTAAAAGATTAAAATAAAACAAGATATCAATAGACTTTATTTTCCAACATTACGATACTCAGATTTCAATGTGTTTCTATAGAGGAGAATTTAAAAATTATTTACGTTGAATGTAAGTCTATCTGGAATTAGAGGAATACGGATATATTTGATATGTGTAGAGAAACCAGTCTTATATGGTTTGTTGATGTAATTTAATTTACCATTTTATTTTTCAGCATCTAACATTCACAAGGGAATTTGATTCAGATTCTCTTAGACATTACAGCTGGGCTGCAGACACCTTAGACAATGTCAATCTTGTTTCAAGCCCCATTCATTCTGGGTAAGTAACCTAAATGTCACTTTTCATTATCCTACTACATGAACAGTGCATTTATTACTTACAGTTATAAATTCACATCAATAAGCTTCATATATATGCATATATTCATGTATGAAATGTATATTCATTAGTATATGTGAAACATATTTGTAAATCATTATTAAATTTTCTTTCTAGGTAATTCTGTATGAGTTTCTTTTGAGAAAAATTTAATTTTGTTAGAAAAAATAATGAAATTATTGATACAACAGACTTTCGTGGCTATTCTAATCTTCTAGGTCTTTACTTTTCCTTTTCAGAAAATTTCCTTTTTAAATTTTTTAAAATTTGAAACATAGTGATTTTTCTCCATTTTACTTTTCCATTCAAAGGAAATTTTTCTAGGTATCTGATTTTTCTTTCCAATAGAAAATTAAATATGTAAGTATGCCTGTTAATTTACCTTAACTGACTTTTGTGCTTCCCTTAATGATAGAAGAATTTCTTTCAAATATTTAGTGGTTGTTTTTGTTTTTGACTGGGTCTGGCTCTGTTGGCCAGGCTGGAGTGCAGTGGTGCAGTCTTGGCTTACTGCAACCTCTACCTCCTGGACTCAAGCCATTCTCCCATCTCAGCTTCCTGAGTAGCTGGGACCACAAGTGCGCACCACCATGCTCGGATAATTTTTGTATTTTTTCATAGAAATGAAGTCCCACCATGTTACCTAGGCTGTTCTCAAACTCCTGAGCTTAAGCAATCTGCCCACCTTTGCCTCCCAAACTGCTGGGATCACAGGCCTGAGCCACCACACCCAGCAAATATTTAGTTTTTAAATGAGCAGTAAGCTCTGGTATTGTCATTTTTTTTCTCATATGATACAGGTCTTTGATTTGACAAATGATTTGTTCTGTGTGATTTTCCTTTTAAAAGAATATATAAATTTGAACTTTCAAGTTGGTGCCTTCTGCATTTCTGAAATAAAATTACAATTAAGTTATATTAATTTGTAATTAGAAAAAAGAAATGAATAGAAAGAATAAAGATACTTACTTTAAAAAAAGAACATTTTTTTTTACATGAGGAGACAGCCTCCTCATGCTGCCTCCCTGGTCAATGGAATTTGAGGCAGGAGGCTAAAAGGGGACCTGCTTTAGTTACTGAATTAATAAATTAGGGTATCTTTAGACACTGAATTCTTCACCTTTGGGTAACTCAAATTTGAGATAATTGACATCCATATAAGTAGAATCAAAATAATTCGTTAAAATGATGAATATTTTTTTTTCAAGTATTTTTGCCTTTGAAATTGGCATTTAGGCCATAAGTTAATTGTGGTCAAGGACAAGGGCAGATTATTTTGGAATTAAATAAATTAACAATAATTAACATTCATGAAGTGCTTCATATATTATATGAAGTATTTGCTGCTGCTCCTAATTAAAATAAATTGTAATAGCTAACGTTTACTTACTTCTTGTCATGTGTCTGGCATTGTGCTAAATCTTTTACATGTGTTGTCTCATTTATATTTACTTGAACCTTATAGTGATACTGTGAGATACATATTACTCATTATCCTCATTTTACAAATAAAAAATCAGACTCAGGAATGCTTCAGGTTAAAGTATAGTTATAGATTTTGGCTTTGTAATACTACGATTCTGAGAAACAGATCAATATCATTCAAATGGGAATAATTGACATGAAAGTGCTTCATAAATTATAAACTTTATGGTGGCTTTTGAGTTATTAATATTGCATTTCTTTAACTCAATTAGAAAAATCTTGAATTATTATAATTTTAAATTGCTAAAAGTATTTATATAATTTATATTCAATGCATATCAGTCTAATGTTAGAAAAGCAAAAAAAAAATCAGATTCAAGAAGGAAAATATACAACATTTGGGATACATTCAGGAAGCAAACATGTTGAGTTTTTTGAATCATGCTTGATGAATTGCCACCATATTTCAAAGACTCGAAACTATCACTTTGTATTCTCTACAAATCAAGGACAAGGTGCTAGGGCTTAATTTAGTAAACTAAGAAGTTGAAGAAACATGATAATAAAACCAGAAATGAACTTTCCCATACATTAAAAACAATGAAGTATTTGAGTATGCAAGTTATCTCCCCTTCACCTTGAACGTTATTGAAGACAACAGAGACAATAGACACGTGCAGGAAAGCAAAAGTAATGGCAGCAGGTGTGGGCTTATTTGAAAAGGAAAATATAGACCTGGTGTAGACTTAGAAATATTTCACTGATGCCAGATCCTTGTAGTTTATGCACCTATGTAAGGCAGATATTTTTCTAGGTTGTCCCACAAATGCCAAATGCCCTGGTTTCATTTTCTGATGGTTTTTATTTTTCCTTTGCTTGTCATTGACATTTTCTGTTGCTTGCTTCTAATTATATTACATTAATTTTTCCCATTTGCTTTCTAAATTATTTTGCAGCTATTCTTCTCCACTTCCTCAGTATGATTCAAGGTGATAACTGTGTCCTTTATGTGAACCATCCTTTTTGTATTTTTAATTTATGTGAATTTTTCCCATAGTTAGATCGTGTCAATGTCTGTAGTATATCAGCATTTGTCATCCTGCTGTTCCTAAAACTAGAAACATTCATGTATTAGTTTTAGGATCATTTGTAGAATTTGTGCTATAGTTTAAATATTAATAAGATACAAATATTATTACATATTACCTTTTAATTTGTTCTATAAGTTATGTTGCATGACTTTTTTACACGGAATATGTAAGACGGGTTTGTAAAATAAATCACTGTATTTTATAATGTTATTAAATAATAGGACCCATGTCCTGTTTAATGAATAGTCCCACTTTTCCTCAGTCTGTTGACTCCATGAAGTTGAGAACCTCAGAACAATAAATGGTTGCTGATGAGCCCCAGCCATGCACTGTGTGCTATACAGAATACAGAGAAAGAGATGCTTCCAGTTTGTTGTTAATATCATCTTAACTAGTGTTTTTTCCATTGGTTCTGATATTCTTTACAGCTGAGCTATTTTTATTTTAATTCTGATAAACTGTACCTTCAGTCCGCTCAGCTCCAATCAGCTATCTACCTATCTATCCACCCATCAGTCAACTAGTATTAGTAACCAAGTCTCACCTACACAGTTTCTAAGCAAAATAGTTTTATTCGTTGATTTATTCAGTAAATATTTATCGTGCCCGTATTTTGTGCTAGAATTGTGCTTGGCTCTGCAGGTCAAGCAGTGAACAAGACAGACCCAATCAGAATTACTATCTAAATTGTTGAGACTCAGCGGTTGCCAGGGCAAATATTCTCCTCTCAGTGGAAACACTCCAGTGTGTGTGTATGTGTGTACTGACACAACTGAATCTTCAAGCCCAAAATTTGTCGTGAATCGTTTTAAATCCATTCTGTTACTGTTATTCCTAATGAAAAATTGATTTCATAGTTACAACTACTAAATGCAGGGAATGACTCGATTTTGTCTTATAATATTGCCATATTGCCTCGTTACTGAATAAAAGTAGTTGTTAAATATACATATGTCTAAGAAAATGTAGGCAGCCCAGAGCAATTTCAGGTGAGCCTCATGTCTTTTAGCATTGGTAACAATTCATCCCAACACTTGTACAAGTGAACAAGTATCTTTTTCTTTGACTAGGGAGGAGTGATTTTTGTTTTCTTTTTGTTTTTGAGAGAGTCAGTGTTTTCCCCTTTAACTTGATTAGCATAGTGGTCCCAATCTCCCAAAATCGATAGAATGTTATAAAAGACATAAATTAATTCAGAGCAAAATGGTTAAATCCAAAACGAGCAAAAGGGTGTGAAGATGAATCCACCTTACTGATGAGGAGAGTTGGTTCTAGGAATCTGATAGGCTGAAAAATGATCTCCAGCCCATTGCCTCTCCCTGTGGGGATCACAGGTCAGTTTACTTGAAAAGGTCACTCTTTCAAGGTCAAGAGGTATTCTTCTTCAGAAGAGGGTCCCCAGCTAGGAAGTCCATGCAAGGTCTTAAATTCTGTTTGCAGGATGTTAGCATTGTTTTTAGAGGAAAAAATAGTAAAGAATTTTGATGGATGGGATTTTTTTTTTCCAAAAACCCTTAAGAATTCAGACAATTTTCCAGTTATCACCATTTTGTACTGTGCTAGTAATCTATATTTTCATGTGTGGAAACTAGAATACAGGGATATATTTGTGTTCCGCTATCTGACCTTAACTCTTCCACACATTGGACTCACCGATTGATATTTACTTTTAACTCTGTGATAGTAACTGTGTTAAAAGTCTGTGATGATGATAGTGGAACCATGCATACATGATAGAAGACAGTGATTCCAATATGCTCCTACCCAAATGTAACAGTTAATTTCTTTACACTGCCATACCTATCAATACATGCAGACTGTTTTTCCTTATTAGCTTTAATAAAAGGCCAATGACAGAATTATATAATTTAGAGCCACTTTCTAAAAGTCTAAGTTCCATTTTTTAATTGTTGTATAAAATATTCAAATGTAGGTTATTTCAGACAGCTTTTAAGCCCATATTTATACTGAAAACATTTAATCCCTTTCCATCAAAATCACCTTAGCAAATCTAGTCATCTCCTGCTTTTACTATATTCTGCTTTATCATAGTAAAAATTAGTGTTGGTATGATTAAATATACATTCATTTTATGAGTCATAAATGTCAAGACATACTGTGGAGTTTCATCTTACTTGTAGGAGACCATATGGCAGCATATGGCAAAAACCGCTCGTAGTTAAAATGACCTTTGAATATAAAGACCACAGTTTTTTTTTGTTTTAAATGCATGAGAATCCTCTTAACAGACAGTTTTTACTCCAGTTTTGAAACCTCCCTTATTCCTTCCATTTGAGCCTGGTAAAGTAGTTGGCTTTTCTGTTTGGGGGCCATGTTCCACCAAAAATAAGTTGTGTTTCAGTTTTTGCAAAGTGCACGAGTTAAATACATGTTTGATGTGACTCCACCGTATTTACTTCCGATTTATCTTTAAAGAGAGGAAGTGATAGCTACGTTGTCTGACACTTTAAATAAACTTTAACATTTAATTTCAAAACTCGCTGTGAACACAGTTTATTTCCATCCTTGAATTGGCCTCTGATCTTCTCCCCACAGGTTTCTGGTTAGCTTTATGGTGGACGCGAGAGGGGGTTCCATGAGAGGAAGCCGTCACCATGGGATGAGAATCATCATTCCTCCACGCAAGTGTACGGCCCCCACTCGAATCACCTGCCGTTTGGTAAAGAGACATAAACTGGCCAACCCACCCCCCATGGTGGAAGGAGAGGGATTAGCCAGTAGGCTGGTAGAAATGGGTCCTGCAGGGGCACAATTTTTAGGGTAAGTTGTTTTGTCAATGTTAACCTTGGCCCTCACAACGCATCTTTGATTTTCTTGACCCTTGTTAACTCAAAGAGTTAACTCTTAAAACTGCTTAGTTGGACCTGATTGAGTATACTTTTTGTAAAGTGTCAAAGGTCACAAAGCTGTGTGATTCTGTGAAAGGCTAATAGGCTGATACTTTCTTAACTCAGTTTGCTGGTCAAGGCTTTTACTAACTGAGAAGCATGCTCTCTGCTCAGCAAGTGCACGGAACCCCAGTGGTCCCTGTAGAAGTCAAGGCACCATTCCAGGGAAAAAATACAGATGCTGGAATTATTTTACCACATTGAATCTATGGCTGCTTTGGGGACATGTCTTTTTAAAGAAAATTTTTCGGGAAACAGTTCATTGTGATATGGTATTTTACAAAAAGGAAAAATAAAGTTAATTCATTTTCTGAGGTGGCACTTGGGTGCAAATCAGGCAGGCTCTGTCGTGACTGACAGTTTGTTCACAATTTCCCCTTCTCGTTTCTCTTTCTGCTGCATGGATGTTATTCAGTAAACTGCATCTTCCTACCAATCCTCCCCCTGTAAATGAGGGTGAGAGCTTGGTTAGCCGAATCCTGCAGCTTGGGCCTCAAGGAACAAAATTTATTGGGTAGGACCTTTATAGACAAGATACAGAATGTCTACAATTTTTTTTTTCCATTTTCAATTTTTTTCTGTCACACCCATGGTCTGATTCTTGTCTTAAGTTTATTTTTATTTTTTTAAGTTTTTTTTAAATGCTTTCAGTTGATGTGTGTCACTGAAAGAAAAAAAAAATCATAGTGGCTTGACTTAATGTAGCACCGCTACCTATCTTGTGCTTTTCAAGCATGTGGAATTCACTGCAAGCATTCTGCTTTCATAACTTCGTGCTTTTGTAAACCTTTCTTTAATTTGAAATGTTTCTTCTGAATATGATACTTTTTAAAGACAGCGACAGTCTTTAACCCAATGTAAGAGAAGGTGTTTGCAGGCTTTGAGTCAAAATTTGCTATAAATTACATGTCTGTACACCTGTGTGTGTGTGTGCGTGCATGTATGTGTGTGTAATCAGATCTTTTAAAAGCACATGAGTACTCGGTAATTTTTTATGGGCTTTGAGAAGAAGTCATCAATAAGTAAACTGATTTTGAAAAGTGTTGGGACAATAAGATATTTAAATAAAAGTAAATAGACAGCAGATAGAATATTCTTTGAAAGTTATAAAATTGTTTTGTTTGGTTTTGTTTAAGCTGAAATGCACTGGTATTCGTTGTTTGTTCGCTTGTCTGTTTGATTGTTGTATTTGCCTTGGCAGTCTGCATGAAGAAACCTGTTAATGAAAAGCTATGCTTGGCTTTCACCTTGGTCAAAGACCCTTGTTCATACCTTCTCTCCAATATCATTAAGCATCATACATAAAGCCACATTCCTTAAATATTTACAGAGACAGTATCTGACACATTAACCTGCAAAGATTGTATCTTGTTCTCAAAACTAAATACGATTTAATGTTTAATTATATGGTGTAGTTAAAAACTCTTGTAAATACCTTAATCTTGAAATTATGAATACTGCTAAGAACACTTGATTTTGTTTCTACCTATTGAAGAATAAAGGCATTATAAAAATTATTTTTAATCTTTAATTTTAATTCTGATTTTGCCAAAAGCAAAATGATCATATTTATCATCCCCGTTTTAAGCGAATGCTCTTCCAATAAATCGATATTCATGTTTTTATTTATGTTATTTGATCATTATAATGATGATCTCTTTTTCTGCTCTTATTTAAGTCTGTATCTTCTGTTATCACATATACCTAAACACATAGGTTAAGAAGTGGGGTTCCATACAACCTCTGTAGGAGAATAATGATACTGTCTACTTAAATGTCATAAAATAAAGCTGCACAATCCAACTACATAAACTGTGTGTGATTGTGGTCTGCTTACTTCCATTCATCTCTTTTAGTATTTATCCTATTTTAAAATTTAACAAAATTATTTCTGGTGGCTTGATTGGCTATGTTCAATTTGCAGCCATTCTTTTACATTCTTTTGCAAAAGGACACTGTCAAAAATTACTGTGTCGTTATATGACCATTGCAAACCAACAAGTACTTTTTCAGAAAGTGTAAGTATTCCTATGCAGGTTATATTAGAGCCAGGAATTGAAGCTACCTACTACCATTTCACAAATTGAAAAGCACAGGAACTCTCTTAACCGTATGGCCATGAAAGGCCATGGAATCTGCCTGTTGGAGGAGTCGTTATCATATTGATTGTTTTCTTGCTAAGGAGAAAATATAGCAATCATCTTTCAAACTAGGAACTTTATAGAATTTTTTTTTTAAAGAAATGACTGTGTCCTTTTAAATCATTAGCATTTGTATAATATAACTATTGTGTCTTTTAAAAATGGACCAACTTTCTTATGGTCTACTTTAATAACTTTCCATTCTGATTCAAAATTCCTATTTATATGTACTGAAAAATTTCTCCTGTTAAATCCTATGCCTAACATATGGTAGTCCTCCAAGAACTGTTTGTGAGTGAATGAATGATGGCATGTTATCAGGCTTCGAAAATATTCTTTAATTAGCAAATGATTCTGCAGCTTTGAAATCATTCCCAACCTTAGTGGCACCTCTGATTTTCAAATGAATACTGTTAATGAAACATTTTTTAAGTACGATACTCTAAATATATTTAATTTGATACCAAAATAATGTGGATTTTTTTTCCAGCCCTGTCATAGTGGAAATCCCTCACTTTGGGTCCATGAGAGGAAAAGAGAGAGAACTCATTGTTCTTCGAAGTGAAAATGGTGAAACTTGGAAGGAGCATCAGTTTGACAGCAAAAATGAAGATTTAACCGAGTTACTTAATGGCATGGATGAAGGTAATAATGATGGCTCCTTGGTTCTGTAAATGTCTGCAGGCAAAAATTAAAGGATTGACTAGATTATGTAAAACAGGACTTGAATTTCACACATTTATATTTTAAGCTAGGACCCAAGTTCTTCAGCTTTTTTTTTTTTTGGACAGAGTCTCGCTCTGTCGCCCAGGCTGGAGTGCAGTGGCGCAATCTCTGGCTCACTGCAAGCTCCGCCTCCCAGCAGTGGCGCAATCTCGGCTCACTGCAGGCTCCGCCTCCCAGGTTCACAACATTCTCCTGCCTCAGCCTCCCCAGTAGCTGGGACTACAGGCACCCACCACCACACCCAGCTGATTTTTTGTATTTTTAGTAGAGGCAAGGTTTCACCATATTAGCCAGGATGGTCTCCATCTCCTGACCTCGTGATCTGCCCGCCTCTGCCTCCCAAAGTGCTGGGATTACAAGCGTGAGCCACCACACCTGGCCAAGTTTTTCAGCTTTTATTGCTGTTTTCTATATCATAAGGCATGAAGTTCCATTTAGTCTAACAAACTTTGTTCTCCGTAATATAGAAGTGTAAGTATTTTGATGATTCCATCTTTAATCACATACATCAATCTTTCCAATACCAAAGAAAGTTTTCTAAGTCAAAAATGGGCAAAAAGAGGGTGAAATAATAATGGAAGGTATGCAAGGCATGCTGAGCATTTTGAAGAAAATATGTTCACATTTTCTTTTTGGAATTATTTCTGGACTCTTCCAGCTTTTTCAAGTTTCTCCCAGATAATTTCAGTATCCTTCATAAATTTTTAATTTCTCTTGGGCCGTAATTAGTTTCTAAAAAATGTTTCAGGGTAATTATTGTAGTCTGTGGTGTTTCAGTGTCTAATTCTTTGACTTAGTAAGACTGGTATGTCTGAGCATGTCACTTTTTCATACACAACTTCTTCAGGCCGTCTGACCCGAAGAACCAGAGCAGTTTTTCTTAGTAGACATTGGGAATAGTCTGGTTTTGAGAATACGTGTTTGATACAGAGTTTTCCTTTAAAAATGTAAAAAAAAAAATTAGAGAACAGGCCCACCATAAAGTCTGATGCCGAAAGAAAAATATCAGAGCTAGTCTTCCTTTATACTCACTTCCTAATCACTCCAAATCAGGAATTATTTAAATAACAGCTTTATTAGAGATATAATTCGTATTCCAGAAAATCCACTCTTTTTAAATTCACTGATTTTTGGAATGCACTCAGCATAGTCTCCAGTCAATTTCAAGGTGTGAACAAAGGAGCGAGATGAACTGTAGGGTACTTGAGGAATAACCTTGTGCAGATTTCTCGATCTCTGAGCCTCTGATTCTTCTACAAAATGGAGATTACCTTCCTAACTTCCTGCGGTTATTGTTGAGAATAAATAGAATAATTAGGTGAGGCACATATGAAATGCAGTTCTTGTTATGTAGTAAGCCCTTGATAATGATGAGTTATTGTCACCATTATATTTATTCTACAGAAAAAATTGTCATGCCAAAGGTTTAGTATAAGACACAACTGCCACCAACCATGAATTTAAAGATGGCTTTACAGCAAGGTAGAGGGAAAATAGTAATTGTTGAGTGTCTAGCATTCATGAGGCACTGATAAATACCTTCATATGTGAAAATTTCAAAAGAAAGGATAGCACTGCAAATCAGGTGGTTTTAATTCCACCTTACTTATAAAGAAACTGAAGTTCAGAGATGTCAAGTAACATATCTAAGGTTATCCCACTGAGTAGTAAGGCTGGGATCCAAATCTAGGTCTACTTATTTTCTTTATTTATTTTTATTTTTATTTTTTTGAGATGGAGTCTCACTCTGTCACCCAGGCTGGAGTGCAGTGGCACAATCTCGGCTCACTGCAGCCTCTGCCTCCTGGGTTCAAGCAATTCTCCTGCCTCAGCCTAAACTAAGGCTCAGAAAGATTGAGTACTAAACTCAAACCTACACGTGTAGGCTTGTTACATAGGTAAACTCGTGTTGCCAGTGTTATTATACAGATCATTCTTTCACCCAGGTTCTAAGCCTAGTACCTACTAGTTATTTTTTGTGATCCTCTCACTCCTCCCACCCTCTACCTTCAAGTAGGCCCCAGTGTCTGTTGTTCCCCTTTGTGTCCACAAGTTCTCATTTAGCTCCCACCTATAAGTGAGAATATGCAGTATTTGGTTTTCTGTTCCTGCATTAGTTTGCTAAGGATAATGGCCTCCGGCTCCATCTATGTTCCTGCAAAAGACAGGATCCCATTCTTTTTTATGGCTGCATAGTAGTCCAAGGTATGAAGAAACAATGATATAATCTTCTGTCTTGGATTCTATGAACTATTTTGGAAAAACTGGATAGCATTTCCTTGCCACAGTTTTAAAGACCAGATAAACTTTGGTTCCGTTTTAGACAATTCAGATGAAATGCAAATACTTCCAGGCTTAAAGAATCAAGCACTGGAGGCCACTAGAGCAAAAATGAGGATGGAATTTTCAAGGCACAGGTTTCCTTCATGTATTAAACTTAATAGTAATGAAGGAACCATTACGCACATTTTATAATTAAAGCTCAATTAATCAAATTGTATGCCAAGCTCGAGCCCTTCTCGCCACTCTTTTCATATCCCCAACCACACTTCATTCTTGTCAGAACTTTCTTCTCTTCAAAAACAGACCGGCAACAATAAAACCCAAATCTGTCTTTTTAAAAAGACAACTTATCTTTTTCCTTAAAGGTGCAACTGTTCAAAGTTCTAGTTCAGAGAGAAGCATAAACATAGTTTAAGAGGTTTCCTCTTTTCTATGTTCTTTTCTCCTCTCTACTCTGTTCCTCTCCCATTTTGCTACTGAATAACTGTTAATTAACAAGATAAAAATAGTTCCTGAATGAAACCAGTGACCAGATCACTCAAGGTTTCCTTAAAAAAGAGAAATAGGCCGGGTGCGGTTGTTCACGCCTGTAATCCTAGCACTTAGGGAGGCCGAGGCAAGTGGATCACGAAATCAAGAGATTGAGACTATCTTGTCCAACATGGTGAAACCCCATCTCTACTAAAAATACAAGAATTAGGTGGGTGTGGTGGTGTGTGCCTGTAGTCCCAGCTACTCGGGAGGCTGAGGCAAGAGAATCGCTTGAACCTGGGAGGCGGAGGTTGCAGTGAGCCAAAATCGCGCCACTGCACTCCAGCCTGGTGACAGCAAGTCTCTGTCTCAGGAAAAAAAAAAGAGAAATAAATTGTCCTACCATTATTTAATATAACATACTAATTTCATAACAATTAAGCTGTATCTGTCATCTGTGGCAAGTGACCGTTGATAATGCCTGTCTTGTTATAAATGTCTATTTTTATCAACCCCCTTTTCCACAGATGAATTCTATGTGCTACTTTATAACCAATCTATATGCTACTTTTATAACCAGTTCTGTTTCAAAGATTTTCTTTGAAAATCTTAAAATTCAAGTATTTAAAAATCATCTTAGCAAATACTCTGATCACTGATTTTTATTAACACAATTGTAAAGATCGGTTTAGTGTGTTAAAATGTGTGAAGCCTTTCCATGTATGCAATCAAATTTAGCTGTTAGAATAACTCCTGGGAAGGATAATTTGCCCCATGTAATGTGGTGGTTGGGATCATGATTTATGGAAGTTACATAGACTAGACTTCTGATCTTGGCTCCACCACTTATTCATTCTGTGACTGTAACCAAGCACTCAGTCTCTGAGCCTTGGTTTAAATGTGTAAAGTGAGGATGTCTAATAGTGAACGAATAGGGAATAGATGAGCTAATATATGTAAGGTTCCTAGCATGATGCCTGATATATGATAATCAATCAGGGTTTAGTCATAGTCACAGCTGCCATGTAAGTTGTGCAGGAGAGCAAATGGGGTCTGAAATCCTGCCCTTTTCACTTGTCAAGCCATTTGCCCTGATACTGGCCTGTAAGACATAGGGGTACTTTTTTCTAATTTGCTCAAAGCTGCTATCTAGTTGCCAAGCTGTGTACCTACAAGGTCGTGTACACCCCAAGTGGGCACCCTTTTCCAAATCGTACAAAGACACTACATCAGCTAGTGAAAGCCCTGGTCATGGTTGATTATGGTGACACACACTCAATATTACCACCACCCAGCTGGGAAACAGTAAATAGATTTAGTCTTCCAAACCCTGGACTTCTGTCTCCACACCTAGTTGTCTCTCTGCACTGCTCCTTTGCCTCTGTACGCTCTCAAATGAATGATGCCTGTGAAAGTGCTTTGTATAGAACAAAAGAGCCACATATATGTCAGCTAGTATTTAAATTTTCCATTACTAATGAAGGCACCTTTTCGTTTCTTTGTATGACACATGGTATATATTCAGGAAAAACAATAGCTGCAAAATAAGGGGGAATTAAAAGTTACTCCTTATCGCCAGCAAGCCCAGGGACTAAAACATCCGTGGTTTTGCTAATGAAGTAGGTGTGTTAGCAAAGATCTGTTGAAAAGGCTAGAATCACACAAAGGACAGTTGGTCTGGGTGTGAAGAACCTGCCATCACCACTAAGGTATCATGCAACAGCAACAACTTTTCACTTTGGCAGCAGACATAGATCTTGTTCTAGTCTTTGTCAATTTTTATTTTCTCAGCAGAGAGAAAGATGCTGCAAACAGAAAACAAACATTCATTTCCCCCACCAAATTATAATGCACCGAACTGAATTTACTTTTTAAGTTTAATGAAAACTTTAATTAAACTCACAAAGTTGAATTAAACTTGTTCAAAATTACACCTCCAAAGTCAGACCCCAAAGGGTGTTTTGTAGTTTACAGTTATCTTGGATCTGGGAGCATTTTCTGGTAGAAGAAGTCCTTCCCCCTGTAGAGGTGCTTAATTTACAAATCAAAAGCTCCAGAAATGTTCTAGTCCTGCCCTGTCCCATACAATAGCCACTAGCTCTATGGAGCAACAGAGCACTTGAAATAAAGCTAGTACAAGTGGAAATACGCTGCAAATGTAAAAT